AAAAAACGATTTTTTGTTAATAAATTGAAATCTGTTCATCGTATAAAAAAAAGTTAAATGTAAAAGTTGTAGATAATTGACAGATCTACAACTTTTGTAAAAAATTTTTTTTGACATAACCTCAAAATTTCAAATTAAATTGCAAAAAATGTAAAAAATCAGCTTTGTAACAATTATTTTTTAGCAATTTGCACAGACAATAATTTATGGGTAATTTATTTTGAATCGAATCTCCTGACATGTTAGAAAACCAATCTTGATTGAAAACAAAATTATTATCAAGCTTTGAAAAAAAATCTATCCAGTGCGTAACTTTGACATGTGAGATTTACTTCATATTTTAAAATTATTTTTGTTTTCGGAACTTCGTTTTTTAGCATTCATAATTGTTTCTTGCATGGTTTTTTGGTGTCATATTGGTTTTTAAAATTTAGCATATTTTTAAAATTTCGCGGGGAAGTCCGCCTAAAGTGAGATCCGTAATTTATAGTGATCTACACGCCACACCCGTACATTCACTAAACTAAAAGTTCGTTGGCTGTCGGGTCAGCTTTGCGCTGGTTTTCGTCTGCTGCCAAAGCATTTCCTTTCTCACGTTAAAGTTTAAAGTAATAGAATTCTTTATTCATAAGTGTCCGCTTCGTTTTGTATGTCAGTGTACAAATGTCACGTAAAGAAGCACGATCATTGCAAGGTACTATTATTAGATCTGACCGATGTTTTAATCCCTTTAATTGAGACATCATGCTACAAGTGTTCAGAGATACCTAACCTTTCGTTTCCATAAATCAGCTGAGTAACCCAGTGCATAGTTACAGCAGCACTATTCCATTACTAAGCGAACTCCTTTAACTCTGTTTAGCTTATTTCCCAAGCGGAAATTTTTTTTGTCTCACAATTGTTATAAGCAACTATTACAAAAAAAAAAAAAATTTAAAACTGATAATAACAGATTTTAAAGTGTAGATTTGAGACTATGCATGAAATTTATCGAATATTATTATCTATTATGTACCGTTAGTAAAAGTTTAAAACAGTTATTATCAGTTTTAAACTTTTTAAAAAAATGTTTCATTTGTGAAATATGGTTCTATTTTTTCGTTAAATAACGGAAAAAAAGTTTATTTACCATTAANTGACCTGGAAATCCACCTGGATTGGCTGGAAAATCCACGTGGGTTGACCTGGAAATCCACCTGGAAAAGCTGAAAAATCCACGTGGATACACCTGGAAATCCACCTGGATTGGCTGGAAACTCCACGTGGATGGACCTGGAAATCCACCTGGATTGGCTGGAACATCCACGTGGATTCACCTGGAAATGGCTGGATTTCCAGCTGGAAATCCAGGATCCACCTGGAAATCTAGCTGGATTTCCAGGTGGGTATCCAGGTGGATTTATAGGTGAAAATCCACCTGGATATTTTCAGGTGGGCACTCTGGGGGCATATACAGGCAGAACCTACACTTTTTGAATCTTTAATTTTACTACCATCAGTAAAGATGGCTATGGCTTTTTGGAGCGAAATAAACGTTTTTAGAGATTCATTGGGTGTAGCTGAATCTTTAATCGTCTTACCTATTTCTATATCAACAGGGATAGTGTAGAGAGCTGTGAAGAAGTGATGTTTGTACATGTTGTAGAGTCTGGGGGATCTAGGAAGAGACTTAAACTTATTGAGAAAAGATAAAATAGCTAGAGTAGTTGAGAGGTGTTGCTAAGGATCTTAGATAAATAGCATGAGCAGAGGGAGCTTGAACGCTCTTTGATAGAGATTAGCCCTGATTCGGCAAGAAGAATGTTTGTCGGGGTAGATCTACGGTATCCCATGGCATACCGGATAGCAGCATATTGAATTTTTTCCAATTTATTTGTTTTATTGAAGGTGGTAGGAAAATAGATAAAGCTCGCGTAGTCCAGTATGCATCCTTGCGCAGGGGCCATGCTAATCTTTTTTGTATCGTTCCAATTTTAGTAAATGAACTACCGAAGCAAGTACAGCAGCTATATAGCTGTATAGTCATTTCCACTTCTCTCATCCTCGTAGGCGCACATATTCAGTATACCCCCCTTCCACGTGTGTCCAAAATGTGCGCCTATATGCTCATTTCCACGCGAATCCACTTCTCGTAGGTGCACGCTGTTCGATACGAGTCTCGCACTCTCGAAAAATAAACACCTTGGCTCGACGGCTGGCCGCGGCTGGTCGCCCCGATCAGTGGAAAAAAGGTGTCTCACTCTCAAGCCGTAGCATTGGCGTTAGCAATCTCTCTACTCATCTCTGGCTTCATTTCTGACCTGGTGTTTAAGCTGCAGGCACCAGACAGCAGGGCAGAAATTTGGCACACCTCCCGCTCACAATGTCACAGGGACAAAGAAACTGTCAATCAAACCACGAAGCAAACAACAGAGCCCAAGCTACTAATAAGCGGTCTATTCTTTATATGTCTATGGCCTTTGCACGGAAATGCGATAAGGGTGAGGAACAACGAAAGAACGGGAATAAAAGCAAAAAATTAGGAAATAACAGGGTCATGAGTCAGGAGAAAAACATCAGTTGAGGCTGTTGGCCTAATATTTTAAACAGAGTGTTGTACTCCGATACATTATTCTTGTTATTTCCTTATTTTTTGCTTTTATTACCATTATTTTCTTCCTAACAAGAAATGACCGCTAGACGGTCGTAGCTTAACCATAGAAATATTAGAAAAGAGCTCGCCAGCCAGGGGCAAAATTTTTCGATGAGTGGAGTGAGAGAGAAGGCTTGTAGCCATAAACACAGATAGTGAGTAAATGCGCATGCCTTAGTGAGACAAAGATACAAGGTGAGTAGGTGACTCACCCTCACCGGGCAGCTTTCTCTCTCACTCCACGTATCAAACCCCCTTATATGTAAGAACCAGATTTCTAGGGTGCTCTATTTTTATCATAGACATATAAAAAATAGACTGCTCGTTTTCATGAACGGCGCTGAAGCACAAGTCGAAAGAGGCACAACATCGAACGTGTATATTTGTCTCTCCCGCACGTTGCCAAAGGTGGGGTGGTTGCATCAGCTGGCCTTAGTTCACTGAACCCCACCTTTGGAAGTGCGCAAGAGAGACAGATACCCACGTTTAATGTTTCTTCTCTTTCCACTCGTGCTTCAGCACCGTACATAAAAACGAGCAGTCTACATTCATTAGATTTGTTCAAGTCCCTTTTGGTTCGGTTCGGTTCTCTTAACAAAATATACCTATGACACCCATGTATAGGGAACCAAACAGAACGGGTTCTATTATACGAACCTACTGAACGAACCTATTACACGTCTATGGGCCCTACCGTGGCATTCTAGTTTCTAGATAGGCCCTACCTTGCCAACTAGGCAGCTTAGTTAGAATTTCCGATCCGGGTTGATAAACTCTACATCTCAGCCTGCCTAGGTCCTGGCATCGATAATAAGACTTGTTTGGCCAGGCCCTGTTTTTGTCCTTCGGACCACAGGCATGATTCCGATTTCTGTGGCGCCCGATGCTTGATATTTCTGTCTTTTACTATCCATTAACCAAACATATCTATATATATAGCTTAGCGCCACAGAAATCGGAATCATCCCGGACCACATTCTCGTCGGGTAGTTCCTAGCACTTAACACAAATGTGTGCAAGGGCCCTTTGGTTTGGTATGCTGATCTCATTTCTATAGCATCCAGATCCCTGCTCCCAGCTGACAGATCCGTTCATCATGAATTCATATGTTTCTACGAGCAAAGAGCGGTTTTTTCTCTATAATACTCTCGCTATTTTACTAAAGGCCGTCGAAGGTGAAAGAACCACGGTGGAGTTACGCAATGAAGCATCTATTTGCGGTGTTGTTGAGCAAACTGATGGGTCTGTATAGTTAAATTATTGCTTACTTAAGATCAAATATCGGATGGTATTAAGATTCCTATGAGATAAATATGCAAGTGCATGACTTCATTCCTGAACGAACATCTTTCTCAAAAGCTCATTCGTTTTGTTATAAACACGACAGGTTACGAATTTAGCCTCATTAACCCGTCAGCTTACGGGTACGTAAAAATTATAAGGATTACAACATTTTAGTTCTCAAGCTCCCGTAAGCTTACTGGTAAGGGTGAATCGATCATTTTAATTTTTCCGTGCATGTAAACTGACGTTTTGGTAAGAAACAAATTCGTAGGCATAATTACATTTTTCGTTACTTAAATCGTTTGCTGCATAAGTGAAGCTGCTTAAACGGAATATGGAGAAAATCAGCATTAAAGTAAGATACACAAGTACCCTTACATGTGTGTTTGTATGCTAAGAAATATGCAGCATCTAATTTCAATCAAAATTAATAAGTAAATAGCTAATATTTGCAATCACGGAAAAATTAAAAAAAAAAAACAAAGGGATGTTTTTAGTAATCCCAATTGTTTGTATGACAGAATTAATCAATTAATTGATTTTTTGGAAACAACGCTTCCTCGTTTCGGCAATCAGGTGATACATCAGATGATTTCTCATACCAAAATATCATGTGATTTTTCTTTCTTCTAAACCGTTTTTTTCTGTTCTTAGTCAGTTTAAGACCTTTTTTTTTTTTTAACTCAAAATTTTTTNCTATTTATTTATTTCCATCACAAATATCTCGCTAAAATGGTCCTTTATCCACAATTTTTAATACAGCATATTACAGAGGAGGATTCATCTACAAAACGAATATATTCAGTCTGCTGGGACATTTAATTTAGGTTTATTATAAACGAAAACAAATTGTTTTTCATGCTGCCCCATAGGAACACGTGCTAATAGTTACAACTCTGAGCTCGGATGTCTCAAAATTTTGACCCATTCGAAATATAATTTAGACCACCATTAAATTCAGTAGACTTTTATTCAGAAGAAATAACATATATCTCTTTTTAGGGACTTTTGTGAAGGAGCCCCCTTAATTAACTGTAGAGTGACGCTCGAGCGAAGGCCACATTCTAACTGAACCTGAGGAAGGGGCATGACGAATTAGTCATCACTATGAACGATCTTAGTTTTTTGGAGGATCATTGCAGCCAACTCAAGGGTGAAAAAACCCTAAATAGAAACTTATTTTTTTGGACTTTTGGCCGCACTGTGCGTCGCTTGCGTTGGCTGCGCGCTCAGCTATATAGCTTTTTTTTATATTACAGTGTACTAACCTCTGAGAGGTATGTACACCACTTTATTCAATATAGTTCTGTACATAGAGTAGGTTCTATACATAGAAGTGTTATTTATTTACAGAAAGTTCTACAGTCGTTGATAAAACTAAAATTTGAGTTGGAGCTTTTTGTAAATACGTAAATACTTGAGGAATACCAATTTTTTTTTTTATTTTTTTATTTTTTTTTTATATACAGTACACTGTATTTAACTAGATTTTTAATTTACATTTTTGTAGGAATTTCGAAACAGCTCTGGTGGATGTGCTGTTTGGATAAAAAATGATGCTTTCTATGTT